AATGGTTTAGGATGTAATGGTGTAGGATGTTATGGATTAGGATGTAATGGTTTAAGATGTAATGGTTTAGGATGTTGTAGTTTAGGATGTAATGGTTTAGGATGTAATGGTTTAGGATGTTATGGTTTAGGATGTAATGGATTAGGATGTTATGGTTTATGATGTAATGGTTTAGGATGTTATGGTTTAGGATGCAATGGTTTAGGATGTTATGGTTTAGAATGTAATGGTTTAGGATGTTATGGTTTAGGATGTAATGGTTTAGGATGTTATGGTTTAGGATGTTATGGATTAGGATGTTATGGTTTAGGATGTTATGGTTTAGGATGTAATGGTTTAGGATGTAATGGTTTAGGATGTTATAGTTTAGGATGTAATGGTTTAGGATTTAATGGTTTAGGATGTAATGGTTTAGGATGTTATGGTTTAGGATTTAATGGTTTAGGATGTAATGGTTTAGGATGTTATGGTTTAGGATGTAATGGTTTAGGATGTAATGGATTAGGATGTTATAGTTTAGGAGATCCTAGTTTAGGATATAATAGCTTTAATGAAAGTAGTACGTGCTCTTGATCAGGGACGTGCACATTTGGAGGCTATTGCTCTAAACTGGAAAAAGGGCCTCCCCCCCTATAAAAAAGACCTTTAGAAAATTCAGGGAAATGTTTAGTTTAGCGGTCCATATCTCATTAAAATATCTAATGTTAGTAACTATTAAAGAAACAATGGGAACAATCCGGTTCTAATATAATTTGACCATTATACCTGCTGTGCAGACATACTGATAACATGGGCTTCTAACTAATTACCTTGAATAAACTCACTAATGAATGAAACCAGTTCAATACGCATTATTCTTATTCTTATCATTTTGTATGAGCGCAGTAACAGTAAGGTATCTAATTACTTATTTATTTAGTATTCCATAATTTAATATCAGAGATGCTCGAACTAAAGTAGAGACATGGCAGAAATCCTACGATGAAGCGGGAAGTGAAGTATTCTCCTGAGAGAGGGCGATCAAGAGAAGAGAGAGAGGGTGATAGAAGAGAGAGAGGGCGATCAAGATAAGAGAGAGAGGGCGATCAAGATAAGAGAGAGAGGGTGATAGAAGAGAGAGAGGGTGATCAAGAGAAGAGAGAGATGGTGATCAAGAGAAGAGAGAGAGAGGGCGATCAAGCGAAGAGAGTGATAGAAGAGAGAGAGGGCGATCAAGAGAAGAGAGAGAGGGCGATCAAGAGAAGAAAGAGAGGGCGATAGAAGAGAGAGAGGGCCATCAAGAGGAGAGAGAGACAGGGCGATCAAGAGAAGAGAAAGAGGGCGATCAAGAGAAGAGAAAGAGGGCGATCAAGAGAAGAGAAAGAGGGCGATCAAGAGAAGAGAGAGAGGGTTAGGGAATGCTCCGGGTTTGGGACAAAATTAACATGGGATCACTCCTGTCATTGTACGTACTTCGTCTCACTGGAATATTAACGGTCAGATTGAATACAACATCGACCCAATTTCTCCGGTCAATGACAGGAGAGTTTTGAAAGTGACAAAACACTGTTTTCGCACACTTAAACAATTAAACAATGTTTACCCAGGATTCAGGCACCTTCCCTGGCTTGTAAAATGTGGTGATGCGCCCTGGAGGTCTCAGACTATTTAAAACATGTATACACTTTTCCTGGCTTGCAAAGTGCTGTGAAGCAGCCTGTTCTCTGGGTGCAGTCTGGGTGCAAGAGCCATGCGCTGCAAGGAGATCTCTGGGTGTGCTCTGTGGCTCTCACAGCCAGCTTCTCTCTGGCTGCTCTCTCCCTGTATTCACAGCACTTTTCCCCGCCTTTCAAACACTTATTGCTGGGTATGAAAGCATTGTGCATCACCCTGGATCTCTGCCTAGGTGCCTTTGAGTGTGAGACCCTGCTTACAGCAGTGAACCTGCTGCCAGCATTACAAACATATTAATCAGGCGTTTTAACACGTTTTTCCATGAAAATGATTTGTATTCACTATCATGGGGCTATATAAATCAAATTCCGGGTAATTAGGAGCACAATTGTACCTTTTACTATTTAAATGTATTATATATTTTTGGGCTATAAAAGTGAAATTTCTGGGTGACTTTGTCAGTTTATGGAACTTAGCCCACAATTCCCGGAGGTTCCAGGCCAAATTCTAGGCCGAATTTGGGAGCTCATAGGCGGCCTGCCATGCGCCCCCACCCGTGGAAAGCAAAACAAAGTAAAGGAAACGGTCAATTATATCTTAAAATAATCAAAAATGAAGTTTAAAAACATTCTCGAAAAAACGACAGAGTGCCAACGGAGGAGGGGCTCCAATAAGCGCAAGTCTTCGGTGCTTCGGGCGGAAGCCCCGGACACTTTTCCACTTCCCTGTTGCATTTTACAACAGAGAGGGGAATCGAGACCTCCCCTCCTCCATCAAAAAAATTCATTCATGTTTTCCAAGCTACCATCTGCACGAAATCGGAAAACCGGTTTTTGAGAGCACTTAGAAAGAAAACGGCTGTTTCACATCATGGAGGAATGTGTCCGCTACATGAGTGCTTTGGCTCGGATACAATTGTTGCCTGGAGGAACCCCAATCATGGTTCTTACCAGACCTTAAGTGTTTGAACTGGTCTCTGGAGAAATGCAAGGGGAGTTTGATAGGACTCTACCTGCATTATGATTACTATTTTCGGATACATTTGGCCCGGTTTCATGGTTCTCCCAAAAGATAAGATACTTTTTCTGACTGGAGGAAAGTAAGGAGAGTTGTCAGGGGACTCTACCCGCCTTAAGAGACACTATTTTGGGATACAATTTCTCAATTTGCACCCGGTTCCTCTGGTTCTCCCAAAAGATAACGTACTTTTTCTGACTCTGGAGGAATGTAAGGAGAGTTGTCAGGGGACTCTATCCGCCTTAAGAGACACTATTTTCGGATACAATTTCTCCATTTTCACCCGTTTCCTCTGAAGCATCGGTTACGCTAACGCATATAAACGGAGAAACACAAAATAATTGAAATACAATTCACTGTGTCTGTTTCAGTAAGGATGTCGTCCGAATGCCCGGTGTGCAGACTCTTCTATCTGGCTTTGAACAAGCACCTTAAGCACAAACATGCAGTGTGGAACTTGGAGCAAAGAGGCATCATTCTTAAAATGGCCAGTGGCAGAATAAATGTTCGGCCCAAACCCTGTCCCATCACAGGGTGGTCGTATGTTGGGAAGAAACTGGACCGTCATGTCACTTATGGCCACCCTAAATTATCCTGAGATGAAGCACATCAGGTCCTGGCAAGGCTGAAGCATAGTGTGGCCCTGCAATTGCTCCATGACCTCAGAGAGACTAATCCCATCACCTCTCTGATGATGTGGGTCATATCAGACTGGGTGCAGGCTCACCCAGTCTGATATGACCCACATCATCAGAAAGGTGAAAGCCAACATGAACGACTTGAAAAAGTCTGTCACTGTCCACCAGTTCAAGATGAAGAGGGACAAGCTGGATCGTCTGCCGAGCCAGGCGAAGCTTCTCGCCGCCATGGCGGCCGCTGAGAAGCGCATACCTGATCTCCTTGACCTGATGGCTTGCAATCCGATCTCAATCACCCGGTACCTGCTATTTGGCTATCTAACCCTCCATTGGAGCCTCCTGTATGGCCACCGTCCGTCCGGGTGTGTACGCAAACATGACCAACACTGAGGTCTTGGAGGCGGACAGAAGGGTCACTGCTGAGGTTATGGAAGTACACATGTCAGGGACACATCCTGGAGGTCATTAGTCCGTCCTTTGGGGCTCTTTGAGGGGCCACAGAGAGGTGCAATTACTGGTCTCTCTCCTGGAGGTGTGAAATAACCTAAGTGCCCAGGTAATGGAGGCATGCTGGAGATCATTAGTCCGTCTTTTGGAGCTCTTGGAGGGGCCACAGGGAGGTGATTTCCCCAGTCTCTGTCCTGGATGTGTGAAATAACCTGAGTCCCCATTTCAGGGACACATGCTGGAGGTCTCTCTCCCGAGAGTGGATGTCCATTGCCTTTGAATAGAGGTAAAATTAGGTCTGTCACTTTGGGTAACCGCACCACTGTCAGACGTCTCCCGTCCATTGTCTCTAAATTGGTTGATAGAAGAGAGAGAGGGTGATAGAAGAGAGAGGGCGATCAAGATAAGAGAGAGGGTGATAGAAGAGAGAGAGGGTGATCAAGAGAAGAGAGAGGGCGATCAAGAGAAGAGAGCGAGGGTGATCCAGAGAAGAGAGAGAGAGGGCGATCAAGAGAAGAGAGAGGGTGATCAAGAGAAGAGAGAGAGGGCGATCAAGAGAAGAGAGCAAGGGCGATCAAGAGAAGAGAGAGAGGGTGATCAAGAGAAGAGAGAGGGCGATCAAGAGAAGAGAGCGAGGGCGATCAAGAGAAGAGAGAGAGGGCGGTCAAGAGAAGAGAGAGGGCGATCAAGAGAAGAGAGCAAGGGCGATCAAGAGAAGAGAGAGAGGGCGATCAAGAGAAGAGAGAGGGCGATCAAGAGAAGAGAGAGCGGCCCCGTTGAGGGAGTTTACAGATGGAAAGATACAGAAAGACAGAAGCACAATAAAAAGTATATTTAGGTATTTTCTTTGTAAGTAACCAACGGTATTAAGAGGAAGATAAGTCCCCTGTTCTGTTCCCTATACTCTAACGCCAGGCAGGCATTTGGTGTGATCACTATAGCCATATGAGGCCGTACTCGGAGGGCTTTCCTTTGCTTCCAGCTGTCAGATTGTAAACAAAGTCACGTGACGGGGGGCAGATGACAGCGCTGACAAGTTGTGTTTCCCGCAGCGAGACGCGGCCGTTGCCCGGGCAACATTAGCCCGTACCTGTGTACTGCAGTAGCAGGAATATAGGCTTATAATATACTGTTTATACATGATGATAGTATATGATTTACATACAGAAAATAGTTTGTCCATTTTCAGAACCCTCAACATTTGAACCTTCTGTACTTTAGCGTCTGAACACAAAGAGCTCTCACCTTCACGTCTCTCCTGGTCCAGAGGAGGGGCCTCGAGCCTCGGGTTGGACCTCCTCTCCACCCTGAAAACAACCAACAGGGAACAGGAACATCAAACTGAAGAGCAGGAGCTAAACTGCTAACAAATAACTTCACATCACAGTAATTTAAAAACACATTTTAAAGCTAGGGAGGGCTCAAATTGAATTAAATTAAAACTGAAAATCCAATATCAAAACAATGTGTAATATCATGCTAACATTAGCTAGTAGACTAAACTACATCATGTACAAACTGGGGTTTCCTCAATGGATGATCTGTCAACCCTTCACACTATACATGCTAATTGACATGTGTTAGCTAGTGACATAAGTAAGGTAAGATGAGCTAACAAAGAAGCTAACGTTAGCTCTGTACCTGCTGCTCCTTTGGTCCCGGACAGAACGTTCTGGATCCGGACTCAACACCGGCTGCACCTGTACGATTAGATAGAAGTCTATGAGAAAATGTTCCTGCTTCTTCTCTCCGTGTCTTAATCTTGCTACTTAAAACATTTTGCAATTTGTGATGCTGAACATACAGTTTATGATACGACCTGATTTCAAACCATCAACAACCCCTTTAATGTCAGCATGAAGCAGAAAACAATAGAGATGTGACTGACCGGAGTGGCTGCAGTTCTGCTGACAGCCTCCAGAGGGAGCTGTACAGGAGGTTTGATCCTCCAGGAGGAAACTGAGCTGCAGCTGGGAACAAGAAGAAGACTTTTAAAATAACTTAAATCAGTTTGAACAGAAGTCCATCTGGAGCCGAAGCTTTTCTAAAACTGAAACATCATGTGAGCAGCAACCTTTCTTTAGAAAGCTGTGACGCTGAGAGACTCACCTGGACGACTCTCCAGGAACACCTGAGGGGAGAAGAGTTCTGTTTTATTCTGAAGGAACCTCATTAACAATCAACAGACTTCCTGCGCTCTGATTGGTCGACTCACCCTCTATGTTTAGTGATGTCACGGCGGTTGCGTTTCCAGCGTCGTTGCTGATCAAACACGAGTAACTTCCTGCATCCCCCACGCTCACTTCCTTTATCTCCAGGAAGTGGAGGCCAGCACGCTCGTAGATTAAGACCCGCCCACAGGACTGAAGCTCCGCCTCCCCCTGAAGCAACAAGAAGGCGCCCAATAGCAAGATGGCCGACAGTTTTACTTTAGCAATTACTGTAGAGGGGGGGGGCTACAAGGATCTGTTTGGGGTTTGGAGCAGGACACTTCAGAGACATGTCCTTAGTAACAGCTGGAAGAGAGGGGGGGGGGGGGCTACAAGGATCTGATTGGGGTTGGGAGCAGGACACTTCAGAGTCATGTCCTTAGTAACAGCTGGAAGAGAGGGGGGGGGGCTACAAGGATCTGTTTGGGGTTTGGAGCAGGACACTTCAGAGAATAATCAGGTATTTGTTTTAATGTCTTTATTTTGACATAAATTGCTTTAAAGTTCTTTAGCACATTTCATAAGTCATATTACAATCGGTAAAAGTGAAAGTAGTAGTTCAAATGTTTTTAATAGTCCCAAAAATGTAAGAAAGATATTAAAAGTGTTAGTGTGATGCCTCTGCTAAGCTCCGCCCACCTTGTACCATGTGACGCGGGGTGGTGGGCGTCCCGTCGCCTTGGCGATTAACTTCCCGCTCTCTCCGAGTTTAGCGACCAATCGGCTCGGCTTGGTGATGAACTTCGGAGGACTTTCCCCCCAAAGACTGGAGCGACCCCTGGGGCATCATGGGAAATGTAGTTACATTTTTTTTAAATAGAAATTGTTCTATCTTTTTTCAAAAAGTCAGCATTGAGACTGCTTCTCGGAGTATCGACTTTGATCTCAGTATTCCCAGTTTTTTTATTTATTTTTTTAATGATTTTTGGAATACCAACTTTTTTCTCAGAATTTTGAGATTGAGGTCAGAACTCAGATTTAAAAAGAAAAAAATTGAATTATTATTTTTCTTGGAATTCTGACTTTTTTCTCTCCGAAATGTTCAAATGTGTCCCAAATCCTCTTCCGTATTTAGCTACAGAGTGCTGTCTCTCACCTGGTCAGCTGCTCACTTATTGTACCTGTACCCACTAAGTCGGATCTGGTATCTGCAGCACTACACAGAGAACCACAGAAGAAGAACTCACCCTGATTTCCCTGAGGACGAGAGGAAGAACGTCTTCATGGATATATCTGAAGGAACGTAGAACATGAGAGCTTCAGAGAAACACCTTTATTCTGACAACATGAGAAGACACCTTCATCTGAGAACAGCAGCTCAATGGGTTCATAAAGAACAGAATAAAACACTTAGTTTTTATTATTATTAATATATTATTTATTATTATTCATATTATTCATTATTCATATTTTTTTATTATTATTTGTATTATTATTATTCAAATTATAGTTTTTATATTATAGTTTTTATTTTCTCATAATAATGGTCGGTACCTTCCAGGAGGATCTCCACGGTAACCTGCCTGCTCCCCTCCTGATTGGTCGCCTGGCAGGTGTAGGGGCCGGCGTCCTCCTCTCTGACTCCGCCCACCTTCAGGCTGAAGTAGCCCCGCCCCCCTCGCTCCACCACGCAGCGCTCTCCTCCAATCACAGCCCTGCCCTCTCTGAGCCATGTGACCTGAGGCTCTGGGTGACCTCGCACCTGAGGGAGGACACACCTGGTCAGTGTGTGTGTCTGTGTGTTTGTGTGTGTGTGATTGTGTGTGTGGGTGTGTGTCAGAGATGTTCACAAGTCTTTTTTTGCAAGTCCAAGTCAAGTCTCAAGTCTTTGGTCACGAGTCCAAGTCAAGTCTCAAGTCTTTGTGGGGTGAGACTTGATCAAGTCTCAAGTCTTTGGTCACGAGTCCAAGTCAAGTCTCAAGTCTCTAAAAAATAAAAGTCTCATGTCTCTTCTGGTTGTAATAAGCCTTCTATTGTCTGCTGCTATCCAGTCTGTTAAGAATACTGCACAGCTATATCTAAGACATTCAAAGCATTGACTGTATTATTATCACTCCTATATCTATTAGCATACAGTATCAGTACTGATTAGTTGTTTGTTATATGATCACTTTAAACAGGCTATTGCAATGCAATATGAGGACAAACATCACACTTTAGCTAAATGCAAACAACTTATAAGCAAAACGCTTCAGAATCAAAAATCAGTATCACAAATATTGTATTAATCCCCCGCAGGGAAACTGTGTTAAAAGTACTTCAAAGTAAACATTTGTTCTGTGCCATTTGCAACTAAAAAACTATTGCTGCAATATTATCTGAAATATACTGAACTGGTGATATTAAAACATGACCTGTTCCAAAAGAGATATCTACCATTAACACCATTTACCAGCCAGATGCTGGTAAATCATGCAAGTGGCTGGTACTGTATGTTGCACGCACCAGCCACAAATAACAATGGCAATCTATTGAGTGGCTGGTAACATTTCAACATTCACTAGGCTAGCCATTTGGCCAGTGGACAAAAATGTTAAAATTTGACCTCTGCAACCGTATTGTTTAATTACACTGGGTCTCTAATTACATCTTTTAAGTCTACTATAAATAAACATATTCCTCTATCCTCTCACTCAAACCCAGTGTAATGGTAACCTGATAAACCTGTAACATTAACGTTACGTGGTCAACAATAAACCTGTAACCTGCCTATAAACCGACAGATGTATTTATGTATGTAACTATGTCTTTTTCTACGTTTAACGTTAGCCAGTAGATGGTGGCAGCGGAACGTAATGATTAACGTTACCGACCTTTTTTATGTCATGTCAAGAGTTGGATGTCAACGCCACTCAACGCAAACAAGTGTGACAAGCAAACATTCACTCATCTTTTCAAATATTCAGTTACAAAGCTAGTAGCAAGCTAAGTTAACATTACATAGCTGATGCTGAGCTAAACATGTTTGCTAACCGTCCATATGCGTTAATGTGACTGACCTCTACGGGTGAGTTTTCAAGTGCCTGATGAAATGTGACGTTGTTGCACCAGCATCCTTGATTTTAATATTGCAGACTTTGCAGCGTGCGCTCCTTTTGTTGGTGCCGCCGGCGTTTTGTTCGAAGTTGTTATAGTTGAACCTAATTACAAGCGGTACAGCTGCAGGTGTGCCGCCGGTCGCCATGGTGTTACCATGATGTTAATGTTAAAGGTGGGGTAGGTAAGTTTGAGAAACCGGCTCGAGATACACTTTGTTATATTCCATGGAATGCTCTTAACATCCCGATAGCCGGCCCGGCTAAAGTAACTGGATGGCCTACCTGCCTGTCAGCCTTCCATCGGGGCACAAACGTATCTCGTGCCCTCATTGGTCATGTGCGCGTTCGTGTGTGTTGGAGGAGGGGCTCTGTGAGGAAGTGGCAGATTTTCTCCGGTTGTATATTTTCAAATTCTAGCGATCTCGAGACGGTTTCTCAAACTTACCTACCCCACCTTTAATACGCCAAAAATAGAAAACACAATGATTGTTCACGAGTCCCAAAACACGAGTCCAAGTCGAGTCCGAAGTCTTTTGAGCAGGAGTCCAAGTCAAGTCTGAAGTCTCTGTGTGTGCGACTTAAGTGCGACTCGAGTCCGAGTCACAGACTCGAGTCCCCATCTCTGGTGTGTGTGTGTGTGGCAGGGTCGGCTCTAGAACAAATCAAATGGGGGGGCAATCATTTACCAAGGGGGGGCACATACTGCCGTCAACAACCAACACACAAACACCAACGCAACTTCAATTAAAAAAAACATGCTGTAAAGTGTATTGTCTTTCACACACATTGCAGGGTGTAGTGCTATTTTATAGCGCACCTATGACTTGTGCATACATGCAAGGTTGTGGCACGACCACCAAAACAGAAACATATGGACATAGGCCACCATATGAAAAGTGTGCAAATGTATTTAGTATCCTATCCATGTGAACATGTTTTAGGTGGGTGTGGACCTAACCTCCTCTAGGAGGGTCCGGGGGCATGCTCCCCCGGGAAGATTATTTTTAAAATATTGAAGTTAAAAGCATCAATCTGGTGCACTTTGAGAGCAAAATGAAGAGATCTATGGATACATCTCTCAACATCCATATGAAACAGAACTGTACACAGATTTACTTTTTCTTTATGGATATTTTACTAATCACTCCCCTTTTAAATGGTATTCTTGTGTTATTGTCCTATAGTAGGTCATACCCGTTTTTCATTTATTCTCTTATTCTTTAATGACTATAATGATCATATAAAGGTAGCCTATTCCTCGCAAATACTTGTTTACATAAATAGTCACCAAACCGTTTGAGACCCACTAAGATAACTTACACTAAAGTGAACTATCTAAACACTGAGAGTCCTTACCTCACTGAGCTGACGTTATAAGATCCTCTCAGTCTGACAGGAGAGGACCCTCCTCCACCTTGGTGTAGAAACAGCTCTTTATATCCGTTAGCATAGCTAGCTAACCAGATGCTAACAACAATATTCCACGTTACCGCTCGCGCACTGACAAAATGCGCTCGTGCCACACACAGAGAGCCGAGCTTGAATGAAACACAGAGACCCATGTACTTGTACTGTACTGTATATCATATTATTTTCGATGGCTTTACTGTATAATCAGTATAACAGATGGACAGATCGCCACTGGGCTTTCATCTAAACACACAGCCATGTAATGATAACAAAACAAAAGTTGGGGTCATTGGTCAAGCAACACACCAATCAGAGAGCAGCAGTGAGCACACCTCAGGCTGTGTTTCATATAAAGAATAAATAAAGAATACAAATGTGTATTCTTTATTTCTGATGTATTTCACACAAAAAACTTTTGGTGGAAACGTTTTAACTTATATGATTAAAAAAAAAAAACCGGCAAAGTGGCAATAAGGCTTGCCCACCCTGCGTTGGGGGGGCACAGTGACTCATTTGGGGGGGCATGGCCCGCGAATGACCCCCCATGACGCCGACCCTGGTGTGTGGGTGTGTGATTGTGTGTGTGTGTGTGTGTGTGTGATTGTGTGTGTGTGTGTGATTGTCTGTGTGTGAGTGTGTGGGTGTGTGTGTGATTGTGTGTGTGTGTGTGTTGCTCTGATCTCACTTCCTAAAAATCCTCTTCCTCTAACATGTGTCCCCGGTGTGTCAGGAGACTCACTAAGTGATGTCTTCTCTACATCACCATGTGTCCCCGGTGTGTCCCGGTGTGTCCCCGGTGTGTCCCCGTGTGTCCCGGTGTGTCCTCGGTGTGTCCCCGGTGTGTGTCCCCGGTGTGTCCCCGGTGTGTGTGTCCGTGTGTCCCCGGTGTGTCAGGAGACTCTCAAAGTGTCAGGAAATAAACCCCTCTCTCTTTTCCTCCATACCCACATCTCTAAAAAACGGGGAACAATGGAGCTTATCCAGATTTGCTGCGTCATGACCACATTACTAAAATGTGGCCGGGCTTTACCCCCCGGGGCCAATCAGAAACATTGCTGTCAGAAACAATGAGACGTGTTCTGGAAGTGATATGGTCTGTGTTAACATTAGCATGCTAACACTCAGAGCTAACCTGTGCTGGAGAGTGTGTGTGTGAAGAAGCAGGAAATCAAAAGCTACTGACCCAGAGTCAGCTCTTTAGGAACAGCTGGAACAGAGGGGGGGGGGGCTACAAGGATCTGTTTGGGGTTTGGAGCAGGACACTTCAGAGACATGTCCTTAGTAACAGCTGGAAGAGAGGGGGGGGGGGCTACAAGGATCTGTTTGAGGTTTGGAGCAGGACACTTCAGAGACATGTCCTTAGTAACAGCTGGAAGAGAGGGGGGGGGCTACAAGGATCTGTTTGGGGTTTGGAGCAGGACACTTCAGAGACATGTCCTTAGTAACAGCTGGAAAAGAGGGGGGGGCTACAAGGATCTGTTTGGGGTTTGGAGCAGGACACTTCAGAGACATGTCCTTAGTGACAGCTGGAAGAGAGGGGGGGGCTACAAGGATCTGTTTGGGGTTTGGAGCAGGACACTTCAGAGACATGTCCTTAGTACAGCTGGAAGAGAGGGGGGGGGCTACAAGGATCTGTTTGAGGTTTGGAGCAGGACACTTCAGAGACATGTCCTTAGTAACAGCTGGAAGAGAGGGGGGGGGGCTACAAGGATCTGTTTGGGGTTTGGAGCAGGACACTTCAGAGACATGTCCTTAGTAACAGCTGGAAGAGAGGGGGGGGGCTACAAGGACCTGTTTGGGGTTTGGAGCAGGACACTTCAGAGACATGTCCTTAGTAACAGCTGGAAAAGAGGGGGGGGGGCTACAATGATCTGTTTAGGGTTTGGAGCAGGACACTTCAGAGACATGTCCTTAGTAACAGCTGGAAGAGAGGGGGGGGTCTACAAGGATCTGTTTGGGGTTTGGAGCAGGACACTTCAGAGACATGTCCTTAGTAACAGCTGGAAGAGAGAGAGGGGGGGGGGGGGGGCTACAAGGATCTGTTTGGGGTTTGGAGCAGGACACTTCAGAGACATGTCCTTAGTAACAGCTGGAAGAGAGGGGGGGCTACAAGGACCTGTTTGGGGTTTGGAGCAGGACACTTCAGAGACATGTCCTTAGTAACAGCTGGAAGAGAGGGGGGGGCTACAAGGACCTGTTTGCGGTTTGGAGCAGGACACTTCAGAGTCATGTCCTTAGTAACAGCTGGAAGAGA